GCAGGTCCCAGGGCCCCAACTCTACAGACAACTCAAGGCTAAATTGGGTAAAACCTTGAGTTTTCCAACTCTAGGGAAAAACCTCTTTATTGACCTCGCTGAACACATAGCCCAGGAACTTAACGTCACGGGGTGCTGGGTGTGTGGAGGAGCACTCATGAGTGAAGACTGGCCATGGAAGGGAACTAGCCTAACTGTCCTTGACCTCCTCCAATGGAACCGCACCACAATCCGACCTTCACAGAAACGGCCCCTAGGGTGGGTTCTCTCCTCCGAAGTAATCAGAGAAGAATGTCTCAGCCGGACAGGCATGCCCTACACCCAGTGGGTGGGAGACACCCCATGCAGGAGAGTCCAGAACCTAACTGGCTCATCTCTCAGCTGGTGGCCAAAAGCCCAGACCTGGTATTGGAGCCCTATAGATACATATAGATATATGTTCCCTCTTAGATACTAGCTCTTCCATTGCCAACTGCACCTTTCTTAATGGCACCGGTAGCCCCTTCCATGCACTCCGGGCCTTTAGTACTATATGGGATAACTTAAACTCCACCCTAAGCACCCACTGGGCAGCACCCGATGGCTTATTCTGGATCTGCGGCAAACGAGCATACTCCCATCTCCCCTCTAACTGGACCGGGAGCTGTACACTTGGTATAATCCAGCCTGGTTTCTTCCTCCTTCCTATCCAAACTGGCCAAGAGCTAGGTGTCCCCTTATACCAGGATTTGCAGATAAAGCCCAAAAGGTCCCTCGATATGGGGGGGCTTCAAGCCTGGGGGGAAGATGACTGGCCTCCCCAGTGGATCATCCAAAATTATAGCCCAGCTACTTGGGCTCAAGATGAGAGTTGGGGATACCGTACCCCCATTTACATGCTCAACCGTATTCTCAGATTACAGGCTGTTCTAGAAATGATTGCCAACGAAACTGCAACAGCTTTAGAGCTCCTCACTGCCCAACAGACCCAGATGCGGGCCGCTATTTATCAAAACCACCTAGCACTGGACTACTTACTAGCTGAAAGGTGGCGTCTGTGGCAAATTTAATCAGTCAGACTGTTCTCTACAGATTGACGACACTGGCAAAGCTGTCTCCACTATCACCATGAATATTAGAAAACTTGCCCATGTCCCAGTTCAAAAATGGTCAGGATGGGACCCCGAGAGCCTATTTGGAGGATGGTTCTCCACCCTCAGGGGATTTAAGGCGTTAATTGGAATCATCTTCCTGCTCCTTGGGGCATGCCTCCTTTTACCCTGTGTTCTCTCCCTTGTCATTCGCTCTCCTCTTCCCTCATAGAGACCATTGTAGAACGTAAGACTGCCACTAAGGTCCTCATGTTATGGAAGTACCAACCCCTAGGCCAGCAGCCTGTCGAAGGAGATGATGCTCTCTAACCCACGTATGGGTTCGAGCATCAAAGGGGAGAATGTGGCAGGGGGCCCTAGACAAAGGCCTTCCCAGACCATGTGGTCACTAAGGATTCTGCACTGAAACAGGGAACTTCAGACAAAGACATTCCTAGACCGCATGGCCATTAAGACTTCCGTGTTTAATATTCCCTAATCCCTACCTCACCTGGGAGCCAGTCAGGAACTGGCACAATGGCCACATGTCCTAATAATAAATCTTAGCTGCCAACCTGGAAACCTCAGGGTACATAGCCCCAAACCCCGCCCGGTTTGGGCCTCAGCCTCTGGATGTAAATCCACTGAGCCGGTGCCAGCATCAATAAACATTGCTTCCTGAGCCTTGGTGTCCTGTCTCTCTGACCAAGTTTCCCGCAACAGTACCTCCCTTCCCTTAATTCCTCCACACCATTAAGGAAAGAACACTCTCTCCTCAGGTTCACTCATACTTTTTCACTTTATCTCCCTCATATTATTGACCTGAGACTTTCCTTCCCCTCCATAAAAACTCCTTTTCTAAACATCCATTTTGAGGCTATTCTCAAGTGACAGCCTTAAGTCAAAACTTATTTTCGTAGGTACTCACTACACCCTTCCCCACAAATACATCCTGATGTTGAGCCCTAATCTAATTCTTTAGCTACCATCAACTTATTCTACGTTAGGGAGTGTTAAGTCTTATTCCTAACACAAATGTTGTATGAATGTCAGCTGCTAAATCAGAACTAAAAGTAGAGGGCTTTTCAAATGGTCCACTACAGATGCCTGGTTCTGTTTAATTCTCCCCTTAAAGCAGTCTTTTAAAATGCAGCTTTGGGAAAGAACACGCTGGTGCTTTTGCCACGGCCCAGGGCAGCCCTGCTTGCCAGTCCAAACACCAAGTGCCGCCTCATTCTAGGTATTGCCCGCTTACCTATCTTGTCCACTCACCAAGCAGAAAAGGCGAAATTCAAGTGGGTGGTGATTGGTCTCAGGACACTGGGTCAGAAAAAAGAGGATCTTCCGAGAGGAAGAGCAGCAAAACAAAGAGCTGAAATCGCTGTTTGTGGGGTGGAGGGGTTCTCTGACCTTGAAAATCACTTAAAAACCCTCTGGAACCAGAGGTACTATAGAGGTATGCATATGGCTAGAAATCCTGGTTTTCGTGTACTTACAGGCCATATATCCTCTTTGGAGCCACGTCTGTTAGTCTTTTGCCTATTTTTAAAAATTGAGTTGTTTTCTTATAATTTGGGTTTTGTTTTGTTTTTTAAAGATGTATTCTAGATACAATTCCTTTATCAGATAGGTAATTTACAAATATCTTCTCTATATTTTATAATCTAACAGTAACCTTTAAAGAGCTGAACTTCTGATTAAGGGGATTTTATTAACATTTTGCTTTGATAGATATAGTCTGTTGTCTTATTGCAGGCTTTTAGAATTTTTCTTTCATATTAAATTTCAGTTTAGTAAGTGGAGATGGGATTTTCCTTATTCTTTTTGGTGCTCTATGGCCCTTTAAATCTGACATCAGTCTTTTTTTCATTCTGGGAACCTGATCTCAATTACTTTTTCAAATATTTCCTTTCTCCATTTTGCCCCTCTTGTTTGAGCTGCCTATTAATCTAAATGCCAGCATTTCTTTTTTTATTCTTATATTGCCTTAAAATTTTTTCCCCTACTTGTCCTTTTTTCCTTTTAAGACGTTTTCTAAATATAATTTTCCAATTATTTATTCACTCTGTAGCTATATAATTTCTATTTCTCATCTACTGTATTTTTTACTTTAACATTGCTGTTTCACACCTAAACTTTCTGCTTGGTTTTATTTCCTGTTCTCATTGCTAATGCTTTCTCTTACTACTTTTATTATATGCATTAGACTAAATTTATTGATTCATCAGTCCTGACATTTTTGCTTTTGTTGGAATCTGATACCCACCATGTATTCTTTCCTTTAAGTAGTTGTCTTCTTCCAATGTTTTGTTATTTGCATGACTTTATTTTTTTCCTGGCATTATCAAACAAACTTGTGCAGCAATGAACAACCAATAAACTCAGTGGGTATAGATAGTGGAGAGCAGACTAGCCCTAGGGGGGAAAGTTTAGGCATTAAAATACAATCACTCCCCACCCTTCAAAACAACTCGTTAGGTCAGTTTCTTTTTTGGAAACACTCCCTAGGTTGTAATTATAAATCAGCAGCCAGGTGAGTTGGGAGCAGGGAGGGACAAAGTCGTCTTCACCTGATTTTCCCAGTTCCTCCCAAGAATTAAGATTTAAGGGCCGGCCGAGTGGCAAGTTGGTTAAGAGCTGGCTTGGGACGCCAGAGGACCCTGGTTCGGATCCCACATATGAGGGCCAGTGACACTGCCCTCTACAGCTAAGATACTGAACAACAGCTCAACCTGGAGCTGGGCTGCCGTGAGTTGCCGGCGACGGCGTAGGCTGCAGCCCCTGCTGCAGTGGGTTGCCATGGGCTACCGAGTGTAGCCAGCAGCCAGCGTGAGTGGCCGTCCAGAAGCCAGCGACTGATCTGCCTCGCACAGGAAGAGCGCAATGATGGTGCCAACTTGGGCCAGTGAAGCAACATCCTCCACAACTAGACTGAAGAACAAAAGGACAGCAACTTGTCTGTTCCTCTTCCCCTGATTCCCAAAGCTGTTCCCCTCCCCCAAATCTCCAATAAAAATCTTAAAAAAAAGGACAGATGCTTTTGTTAACACACACACACACACACACACACACACACACACACACACAACTGGTTATTTATTTAGAAATAAAGTCACCTCAAATGGTTAATTCTTTATTTGTATTAATGACCATTACTACAGATTACTCCCAGGTAATAAAAGACCTAAAAAACCTTGCAAATTAAGCAATAATAAACAATATACTAACATTTCAACCTAAATTTTGGTAATTGTAAATAATATTTTTAGTATTAAAAATTCTTCAATCCTAATGTTGAAAAGTAAATAAGCTAAAGGATGCTCACCAACTTAACAAAGTTTTGGTGTAGTTTTCAGTAGTATCTACAGGTATCAATTTCTAAACTTCACACTTAAAATTATCACCCAGAAATACATATTTTTCCAAAATGGCTTCTATCAAAACTAATTTATTGCTTTTTAATAGTCAGTCTAAGTGTTTTGGGAACGTGGAAAAATACAATTCAGATTTCATTCCTTTTGTTAATGTAAAATTATCAAGACTACAAAACCGATGTAGGCAAGTCAGCCCTATATGGAGTGAAACAAACAGCCCTGTAAACAATCTAATGTGGAGGGTCCTATAAGAAATCTACCAGTACTGAATAAAAAGGTCTACCATCGGAATCATCATCCTTTTAGGTTACTGTATTATTTTCAGAAGACATTTGTTAAAATATAAATGCACAGTAGGAAGAAGGATTGTGTGTGTAAAAAAGAAATAGTTAATAACTTCTTAAAATTTAAGGAACATAATGCACTCAATAAAAATTAACTGGTAATTTAAAAAAAAAAGAGGAGTACTTAGATTCACTCCTTCAAAGAAAATAGGTTATACAGTGGTCAAGTACTAGAGGGCATCCATATTCAAGTAATGAGACTTAGGACTTACCTCTAAAATCTGACTAGCTCTAGACAGTGAGTGCCCATCAGCCTGGACCACCGTTACCTGACTGGGAGACTGTGATAGAATGCTGGAAACACTAGCAGTAGTCTAAAAACAAAAACAGAAAAACAAGGGCACTTTTTTCCTTGTCTAATATTAAAAATATTAAAAATAGGCACAACCTGAGGGACACCTGGTATGTACGTAAGTTTCATTTGTTAACCCTGTAGTGGATACCACATGGTTAGTGGTAGAATTTTGTGGTCATCTAAAAAATTGCAGAGATCTTTATAGGAGTCCAAAGGAGATACCTGGGGCCTGTACACTCACCTACCAACATAGTAAGACAATTTCCAGAATGCAAACAGAGGCTAGTTGAGGTCATAATTAAATTCAAAATAACATTGTTTCCAAATACCATATGAAAAGTAAGTTTTCTAAAAAACAAATAAGCTTTATGATGTGAACATGGCTTAACATTAAAAACTGCAATTACGATGTCTTATAGGGCCGGCCCAGTGGCTCAGCTGGTTAGAGCTCGCTTGGGAGCGCCAGCTCTGAGCAGCAGGGCTGCGTTTCGGATCCCACATTGAGGGCCAGTGACGCTGGCCCTCTAGAGCTAAGATGAAGAGCAACAGCTCGACCTGGAGCTAGGCTGCTGTGAGTCGACGGCGACGGCGTAGGCTGCAGCAGGGCTGCAGTGGGCTGCCGTGAGCTACATGAGTGGCTGGCAGCCAGCGTGAGCGGCCGGCAGCCGGTGTGAGCTGCTGGGAGCTGCTGTGAGCGGCCAACCAATGACCGGCAACCGATCTGCCTCACCCAGGAAGAGCACAATGATCATACCAATGTGGGCCAGTGAAGTGAAGTCCTCCACAACTAGACTGAAGAACAAAAACAGCAATTTGTCTACCTGTCTGTTCTCCTTCCCTGATTCCCCAATGCTGTTCCCCTCCCCCCAATTCCCCAATAAAATCTTTTAAAAAAAAAAGTCTTATAGTCCATAAATGCTTAAATAGCATTTATCTTACCTTAGATTGGTCAATAATTTGAAGTTTTTCCCATGCTACTTTATCACTTTCAGATGTTTTCCAAGGATTATTCCATTTTTCAGAAGCTTCTTTTTCTTTCTTCTTTAAAGCAACCTGTTCATCTGTAAATAATGTCCTTTTTTAAAAAATGTACAAAAACTGTAAAAAAAATCACGTAAACAAATCATGACCTTCTTAAAGAGTACAGATTCCTACACAGATCAGAACTGTTTTTTAGATAGGCGGTTAACGCACAAGACAGAGAAGAATTTTAAGGGATATGGAATAAAAGAAAACATTTAATCAAAACCAAAATATGGCACCAATGGATGTAAAAATGTTTAGTACAATTATCAATAAAGAGCAATTTTTTCTGAACGTATTTTTTATTAGGCTAATTATTCTGAGATTCTACTTTTCTATAATGTTTATTCAGTTACTACTAAATAGGTTTAAAAGCTACCACTGTGGATTCAGAAAACCATGGGGGTCAAATCAAGTTCAACCACTTCCCAGTTATGTGACTGTGGGAAAACTGCTATTCACCTCTCTAAACCTGTTTGTTCTTCTGTAAAATGAGAGTAATAATAGTGCCTTTTCAGTATAGGGCCTAGCACAAAGTAAATATTTAATAAACATCAACCATTCTCATTCATAACTGTGGAATAGTGAAAAACAAAATCTTGTCTTACAGACTAATATAAAAGAATTAGGCCCCAAATCATCAGTAGTTCTTAAAAATTGAGATAAATAAATTTAAATTCCAAGAAAATTAATGAAAGCATAACTTTAACAAAGAGAGATGTGCTTTCTAACAGTATCAAGAAAAAGAAAGTAAATTATATTTTTTTAAGATAATAATTAAAGCATAAAACACTTCAGTCATTTCCAAGTAGCTCCATCTTACTTCAGAAGTTTGGTATTATATTTTGATAAGCTAAATTTGTACTGAAAGAAAATATTTAAAGCTGAAATTATGATATAAACACATATCAGATCTCTAAACCTTCTTACAATGCTACCATATTTTTAATTTCTCCATTCTTCTGTTACCTTCACTTCCAATATCAATTCATTCCCTATTTCTTTTGCTCATCTCTTTTTCTAGGTCACCTGTCCCACCAGGGTTATGACTGCCTCACAGGACTTACCAGCTTAGTGGAAGGTGAAGCCCACCTTAATGCTCTTAGTAAAGCTATTCCTAAGGACTACAACTGTTACTTCATTTTCCAAACTCTGGACCCTACGTCTAGTCCAAGAAGTAACACGAGTTTCTTAGTTATTATCAATATTTTAAGACCCTAACAGAAATTATAAGTTTTTCTGTTACATGTTCTACAGGCTGACAAAAAGCAATAAGCTTGCTTTTGTATGGAATATACTGATATCATATTGATGATTCATTAAAACATTTTGATTATTTTAAAAAATGAACTCAAATATTTTTAAATAAAACCATCTTTAAACCCATAGGATTTCTGTAATGGAAAAATAGGATAATGGATTCTCAGGAAATGATGAAAGTTTAGACATGTTTGTTTGAGCTCCAGGAGTTCCAAAATGATACTAATCGTCTCAGGCTTTGGGTGCACACCACAGAGTGCCAAATAACGATAAAGGGAACGTGAAACCACAAATCTTCTAATGCATTTGCAGAGAACTACTCTAGATGGCAAATATTATAAGACTTTTGATAATATCATACTGAAAGATGTATTTCATCCTCAACATATATCCCATAAGCCAACAGAAGTGTAATAAAAGATGTAACAACTACCTACCAAGCTCTTTCCGCCACTGGGCTTTTTTTGCTTCCAACAAACTTCTATCACGTTCTCTTTCCCCCAGAGTACTGAATATGTCAGCTGGTTTCCATACATTCTCTCTAAGACAAAGCACAAAAAATAACAGAACCTTTACTATACGTTTCTATACAACTTAACTCCATAAATATTAAGCAATAAACTTTTAACTAGCTCTTAATCTTCAGAGTAAACATTTCACATGGAAGTCAAGGAAAAGCAAAACCATATTTGTAAGATGACCCCACAAAACAGATATGAGTTACATACATGGCAATTTTCTGTTCATACTGCTTAGATGTCTCCTGATTTTTATTTAAAACAGATTTATTTTCATCTTGGTCATATGAAACAGCCTCAGTTTTTTCAAGTAGTACCATAATGTTCTCGTCCTTTGGCTGATTAGGAATACTGTTTAAATGTAGACTGTCTTGACCTGGGAGGTAAAAATAAATGCTTTAAAATCAACATTAAAATTATGTCTATTACAATACCTTATCTTGGCATAACTGCTATACAGTTTGAAAAATACTGCCTTCACATTACCTTATTACCTCTCACAGCAATCCTTGCAGTGGGTACTATGATTCCCTTTTTTTCAAAAAAGGAAACTGAGCCCCAGAGGTTAGATGGCCCAGATTTTATGGCCACAACCATAAAAATTCCTGTATCAAATAACAAATAAGCAACAAAAAAATAAACCTCCATTTACTCCTGCCAACAATAAATACTTTTATCAACAATATAAATGAAAACACAAATCACAACAGAATAAATGTTAAGAGTTTTACAAAAAACTCATTGCCTTGTCCTTATTTTCTCATTTAGTTGGAAATCAGTGAAAACTTTACCATGGACCGCCATGTCTATGCCCCCCAGCTATAATATCTATCTATTACAAATATTTCACACAGGGCTCGCGTGCTTGGCTCAACAGCTAGATTCTAATTTGCTACTTAATGTGCTAGTTCTCCTAATGAAGAGGAAGCATATCTAACATGCAGGTCATATAATTAGGCAAATTCTGCTTTTAATTTTGTTGATATTCTCTCATCCCTAACACGATTTTATTTTTTGTTCTCTGAGCTAGAATTCTAGCCTTAAAGACAAAATATAGCTCCCTCACTTTACAAAGAATAATCTAGACCAAGGGAAGGTAAATGACTCTAGTAGCATCAGCACCTTGGGAGCTACCTGACCCCCAAACCAGTTGTGGGCCTCTTTCTGGTGACTGTTAATTTTATTTTTATTTGGTTCACGATTGCCTAAGAAAATTTTAATATTTCTACTCATATACACAATTCCTTAGTTTAAAGTTGAAACAAGAAGACTTTTAAAAACGTAATACAATTATGACAGAAGGCACGTAACACTCTACAACTCCTTCCAAGTCTATGGTTACAAAGATAGTGCTGCCAATCCTTAGCATGGATTGAGAGTGTGGAAAAGCAAAATGTGAGGACCAGGAAAATCAACATTTTCAGCAACTCAAGCCAAATCTTCATAGTAAGGTTCCCTCAATTTTTACTAGCAATACTATGATTTTTAAAGAACATTTTATATAATTACTTTTAATATAAGTAAAGCCTCTTACATTCTAAAATAAGTTCAAGTGTTTTGTATTAAGATCCTTCCTAGAGTCCACTGAAACTAGGTTTCTTAAGGATATGGTACATGAGAATATTCTGAGCTTCAACCTTAAAACATGGTATATCATAACTATAAAAAAAAAGTAATTTTGCATAGGAATGTTGTTTAAAAGAATCATTATTTTTAAAAATTGTTACACATTAGAATTTGAGAGGCAGTTACATAAAATCCAATGAACCTAAAATTCTAAAACATTTTATATTCACAAAATTAACACGAATTAAAATTTTAGAAAAATCTTACTTGTTTCCTCCACCTTTCCATTTGTGGTCAGGGAAATAGATCCATTTCCTTGGTTTACAGTCATCAAAATCTGCTGTAGTTGGTCTTGTGTTAGACACACCAAACTACTCTTCACATTTTCACTTGTGACATATTTTTTACAAGGCTTCTGTTTAGGTACTACAGGTGTATTTATGGTGTTTCTAGTCTTCTGTATATTAGGGGTTGCAGGTGAAATTTCTTTCTGGATGTGAAGGCAGTCTTTATCTGCATACTGCTTGCATAAATCCTTAGTGGGTGAAAAAGTCATACTAGTCTTTTCATCTTTTGCCAGTGAAGTTTCTGAACCAATTCTCTTCTTTTGCAAACGTTTTTCACCCCTGATACAAGTATTTTGTGTTGATTTTAGAATGTATCCAGTTTGTTTTGTTCTTAAAGGACATTTTCCAATCTTGGTCTTATTTCCCATCTGTTAAAACACCAAAAATGTATTCTTTATAACAGTCCATGAAAAATCAACAATTATTTTTATATAATCTGTGATAAGGCATGCCTATAAACTTTTTTCCATTTTGCTAAAATATACATAAGAAACTAACATTTAACCTTTGCATAGCTTCATTTGAAAGCTTCATCAACAACTGGAAATTATGTTATTCAGAATAATGAAGAACACAGGAGAACTTTTATTCTAGTTATTATAGGACATCTCCATTCTACTCTCACGATTACAACATCCACATTACCTCTTTTCTTTAAAGGCATCTATAGACTCATAGGTTACTAGCCCTTACTCCTTGACTAACTTATTAGTTCGTTCGTCATCATCCCTCTCCTTAACTTAACTCCCGTCTTAATTATCGGTGCTTTCATATGCACATAGAGTATTCTTCCAATACCCTGGCCTCTCATTTCCTTGAACTCTACTCTTTTACACTTGTCCCCCATGCTGTTTCAGTTACTCATTTCCTTAGTAACATCTTATACTGACCTTGGAACTGTCCATAACTGCAATCCCTCCATAAACTCAATTTCAAGCACTGCACAAAGACCACCACCACTTCCTATCTTTTCCAGCTTAACTTTCTCTTATATTCCAATTCCAACCATTCTTTAACTCTGCTGGGAACTATTGGGTTGTTGGAACAGTCATGACGCATGTTTGCAACGAAAAACAGAAAAAATACACCATGACTTTTCCGACAACCCAATATAATCTGTTGATCCTACCCACCATCCCCTTGATCTTGCTTCCCTCCTTACCAATCTTATTTCCCTAATCAACCCAAATCATCATGGCCTTCCATTCTCAATTCCTCTGCTCTGTTACATTCACTTGGCAAATCCCAATCCTGGTAAAATATAACTTTTCACCTACTCTGCTTGCATCCAAGGAGAAAAACGCACAGTCACACTGCCTGGATTCATCTTAAACACATACCCAAGAAAAACAAATGGGCTCTTCATGCTAACTGGCGGTCACACATTTCTCAAGTTCATTTACTTGCACTCTTTTAGCAACAATTTCAACTTTCTCCTATGTCCCAAAACTTTCTTTCATACTCATTCTCAGCTGCGGACCTTGAGTATTTCACTGAAGATCTTATAGAGCATTCAGAAAACACTTCAAGTTTCCACCACCTAATCTGTACCAGCATCTGTCCTCACACAAACTGCTTGCCCTCCCTACGACTCGTACACATTCCCATAACCCTCTCTCAAGGAGCTCTAGCAATCTTTTGCTTTCTCCTGAGTCATCACTTTCTTTTCTGCTGGTTCACAAAATCTTTACCATCTTGAAAAATACTTGATCCCACTTTCTGCTCTAATCTGCTAGAATTCTATTCTAACCAAACTTTCACCTATACCACCCCACCAAAACTGCTCAAAGTCACCAATAATTTATACATTGCTAAATTCAATGACTGATTCGCAAATCGCCATCTGAGTAGATCTATTAACAGCATGTGACACCGTAGATTATTCCTACCATTTTGAAACAATTTCTCTACTTCAATTCCAGGACTCTACAATCACGGTTCTTCTTGCTGTTCCTTCTCAGTATTTGCTGGCTCCTCCTCCTCTCCCAGGCCTCTTAAAGTTAGAGTGCCTTGGGCTCAGTCCCAGAATCTCATCTTTAAATTCTCCCAATTCAGTTGGTAATTTCATTTACTCTTGTGGCTCTACATATTATCCATGTAGTAGCTGACAACTCCCAAACCTGTGTCTCCAGGATGTTTCTCCCCACTACATTCAGGTTCCATCTGCCTAGCCAACACTTCCACTGGGTTTCTAATAGACCCTTAAACTTAAGCATGTCCAAAACTGAATTCCTGAGCTCCCTCTTGCCCCTCAATAACTTCCCTCACCGTCTTTCCCATTTCAGTTACTCATGCCAAAATTTTTGGAGTGATCATTGAATATTCTCTCATATGCCTCATTTAACTTGTCATCAAACTTTGTTTTTGCTCCATCTTCAAAACACATCCGTAATCTGACACTCCTGATCATTTCTTGCCACCCTTCTGCCCCAAGCCATTAGATCTTACCTGCATCACTGAAAAGCCTTCTAACTGGTTTCCCTGCTTCTAGCCTTGCCCCTCAGTCTATACTCTCAACCCAGCAGCCAGTTATTACCTTAATATGTAAGTCATATCATGTCACTTTCTTCAAGTTTCCAATGGCTTCCCATCTTACTTGGAAGAAAAGCTAAACTTCTCACTCTGACCAAAAAAAGACCTAATACTCTGCATACCCTCTCCCCTGTCCCCATTATCTCATCTCATGTTCTATCTCTTAGCCTCCAGCCACATGGGCTTCTGGGTTATTCCTTGAATTCAACAAGCCCTCCAGTCTTAGGCCTTAGCATAGTCAATCCCTCTGCATGAGAAATTCTTCCTTCAGGTTCTACATGGCTCATTCACTCACCTCTTTCAAATATTTACTCCAATATCACCAGCCGAGTGGGGTCTTCTCTCACCACCCTATTTAAATCTGCAGTTTCCTGCTCCACCCTCACTCCCACCTCCCTACCATTCCCTGCTTTTCCCAAGGCTGCTGTGCCCCAAAAGTGACTGTGCCTCTTGCCTTTCTCTCCTTTATTTTTCTCTGTTGCATTTTTAGTCTTGTAGTATTCTATATTTATTTTGCCTATTGTCTGCCTATTCCTCCCCTCCCCTTTTTAAACTCCACAGAGCAGAGATTTTTGTCTGCTTTGTCACTGCTGTATTCCCAGTACCTGGAACAGTGAGTAGAACAGAGTACGTGTTCAGTAAATTTTTGTTGAATGACTGTCCTCAACTATGCCATTTTCAAGACTGAATTCTTTCTCTCTCTCCTCTCTCCCCCATATTAGCTCTCCTTTCCAAACTATCCCATTTCTTTGGCTCTGTAGTTCTCATCTCTCAGACCAGTAACCACGGAGTCATTTTTGATTCTTTATCCTCCGTTATAGTCTTCTTTAGCTTACCAGCAAGTACTCGTCATGGCTTCCTTCCAAATCATTTCTCACCATTTAAACGACAGTAAGCCTAAATTCAGGTTTTTGTTACATTACTAGATCACAGTCTATCTCAAATCTATTCCATTTAATCCACTGTACATTTCTGTAAACCCAACTAACCTAAAATAATTCAATAGTCTTTCAATCAATATTAAATGTTGCTTTTAAGTGCTCACCACTATGGGAAAAAGTGTCGGAGATGTAAAGTTGAATAAGACAAGATTCCTGCTGTCAACGAGTGTAGATGCCACATGGCTTTCATCTAGCTTATCATATCCCAACTTTATCTTTCAATAAATTATATAACACTTTGACCAATTAGCCAATCACATTTTGCCCGACTTTTCAAAACATACTGTGGAATCTGCCACAGGATTCCTTTATTATCCCACTCACCTTACCTACACCTTATCTGTTCCTGGCTTTAGGCTTTTGATAATACCAATACCATAATCTAAAATGTCTTTTTACCCTCCCATTCCTGTGGCTATTTTAATATAACTAACTCTATAATTGAGAAGTGGCAAACTCAAATACTTACTGTAAATTAAGCTGGGTGGGAACTAGGATAAACTAAAGAGCAGTTTTCCCACCCCAAGGAGGCAGACACCACTCAAAACCAGCCTGCACTGCCAAAAAGGAATCTGAGGGCCGGCCGAGTGGCTCAGTTGGTTAAGAGCTCGCTCAAGAGTTTGACCTCTGAGCAACAGTGGTTCGAGTCCCAGCCCAAGCTGAGCAGCCGCTGAGCCGCCAACAGGTGGCAGGATGGCTCAGCTAAAAAAAAGGAATCTGAGTCTACTTGTTAGATCATCCAATATTTCAAAAGAATCAAGAATACTAGATTTTACATTAAATATTCCAATTTTTAGACATCGGCAATTCATTCTAGTTTTTGAAAACCATTGTGTGGATTAAGCAAATTATCAGCAGACTGCAAACAGCTTGCACAGCTGAGATACCACCTCAGTGAGTCTCCAACTACTACAGCTCCTACTAATCTCACCCTCCTTTAATTTATACTGGCCTTTTCTGGGTCATTAACAGTTGAGCATTTCATTTCTCTAATAAGATTGTCACTCGAGCTAAGAAGTGTAGACTTTCTCTTGAAAGTCTCTCATTGCTGTCTCCTTCCTTCCATTCTGCTAGCCACCATACAAGTTCAGGACCTCATAAGACTCTCCCTGGACTACTGTAATTGACCTTTAAGTGGTCTCCCTGCTATGATGTCTTTCACAGAGCTGCCTGAAGCCTTACAACACAATTAAATCATATCTAGTCAGCTTTTCAAAAATTCTTTAACACTCCCTACATGCAAATCAAGTAAGTTCAAATGAGTACACATTTAAACTCTTCATGACTGTAATCCCACAAAGCTTTATGTTCTATACTTCCCCTAAGTGCATACTATTCCCCAAATTTTGCCCACTGTTTCCTGTGAGCTTCTTTACTTCTTTTACTATAAATATTTCCCTCATCTTTTAAGTTCTAATTAAAATGTCACCTCATTTATGAAGCTCCCTGGTCTTTTCAAGCCACAAAGAGCTGCTCTTTCCAATGTTTTCTCCTTTTTATAACCCTACTATGGCACACTTTTTATTCTACTTGTATTATATAGTTATTTACCTGACTGATACCTTCACTTCCAAGAAACAGGGACTAGGTTTTACTCTTTTCTTCCCTCTCACAGTCACAGAACTAATAAAGCCAATAAAAGAGCTCTACACACATACTGGAATTTTACAGCAGCAGTGAAACCTTGTTAAACAGAAACCTACTAATTGGAGCTCTAATTTAACTAGAATTATTTTGCCTCATAACACATTAGAAACAATATACAGAAAAGTTCTAAAAATATTTATTTAATAAAGAGGGAGTGGGAGATGACCTGTCATGAGGTCATTTCATACAATCAGCTAAACTCTGAATACTTTTTGTATTAATAGTTCAACGCCAGAGAAGAATAATGA